CATTTTCCAATAGTGTTGACAGGAGAATCTGGTGGTTCACCGAGTCAAAAGCAGCAGACAGATCTAGCAAAATAAGTATAGAAGATTTGGAAGCCGCTCTTGCCAGTCTTAGGGCTTCAACAACTGAAAGCAAGGCAGTCTCGGTCGAATGTCCACTTCTGAAGCCAGACTGGTTGCTGTCCAGGAGGTTGTTCTGTGTGAGAAAGGCTGAGACTTGGTTGAACACAACTCGTTCAAGTGTTTTTGCAATGAAAGGTAGAAGGGAAACCGGTCTGTAGTTCTCTAAAAGAGATGGGTTAAGGTTAATCTTTATGGGGGTAATTTCTCAGCCTAAACTGATGACTGATTAATTTGTGATAAATTCATTCATTCATTAAATTAATTAAAGCCACAATAAAAGAAGCTGTGAGTTTTTGTGCAAGCAATATATTTGTTTTATTCTTTTAATAATAATAAATAAAACTTTTTTTTTTAAATCAAATCAAAATCAGGGATGTCCAGAATATGTATCTGATTTAAAACTACATTTGGAAGAGGTTCATAATGGTTGCGAAAAATCAGGACTTTGTTTCTACACATGTGCAACCAATCTGCATCTGAAAACTCTGATGCCAATGTAAATAAAGCCACAAACAGTCTCTTCTTATGTAAGTGGGCAGATTTCTGACCAGAATAAGCTGCGAAGTGAACTGGACTTATTTATTTCATATATGTGACCCTGCAGCACAAAAGCAGTGTTAAGTCGCTGGGGTATATTTGTAGCAATAGCCAATACATTGTATGGGTCAAAATTATAGATGTTTCTTTTATGCCAAAAATCATTAGGATATTAAGTAAAGATCATGTTCCATGAAGATATTTTGTAAATTTCCTACCGTAAATATATCAAAACTTAATTTTTGATTAGTAATATGCATTGCTAAGAACTTCATTTGGACAACTTTAAAGATGATTTTCTCAATATTTAGATTTTTTTGCACCCTCAGATTCCAGATTTTCAAATAGTTGTATCTCGGCCAAATATTGAGATTATGTATACATCTCAATTTCGAAAAATTGACCCTTATGACTGGTTTTGTGGTCCAGGGTCACATATGATTTTCTCTTGCAGCAAACGAAGCGCAAACTGGACGATGCCTCCAAACGTCTGGAGAGTCTGTACGACAAACTGCGAGACCAAGCGGTGAGTTAAAGACATTTATTCCCGTCTCTTCAGTCTCTAAGATGTCCTAATATACCTCTCATGTGTCCTCAGCTCTCTCCCAGCATCCTCGGTGGCCTGCACGAGATCAGCCGCTGCGTCAGCGTCCGCAACTATCAGCAGGGTCTGGAGGTTCACACGCAGGTGGTGAGCAGCAGCAACTTCAGCGAGATCTCTGCCTTCATGCCCGTCCTCAAAGTGCTCATGACCATCGGCAACAAGTTGGCCGTGTGACTCCAGCGCTCCACGGCAGATCCGGTTTCCGCTTGTGTTTTGATCTGTCGCTGAACTGTGCTTTAAGAATGAATGCAGCGTTAATATCCCACCGCTTTCCACTGCTGGCGTTCTTCTCATGTGTTTGGGATTCTCTTTCCATGCAGCAGGCCTTATTCATCCCACAACATTGTTCATAAAACCATTATTGCATAAATTGCAATGAATTAAATGCAATGGATTGTCTAAAACAGGCCTTAAAACAAGCAGAACTAATTTGTGCAAGCTGTCGCATTTAATTCATTGTGAAAACGTGGAAACTTTGTCATGAAACGCAAGCAGAACGACTTTCTGTGCATCATTTTTCATAACCATTGTTACATAAGTTGCGTTGAATTGAATGCAATGGTTTACCTAAAAATAGGCCTTGAAACAAGCAGAGGCAATTTGTATAAATTGTTGCATTCAGTTCAAAGTAAGATCGGGCCTTTTTTGTGAAACACAAGCAGAATGATTTTCTGTGCATTAAAAAAACATTTCATAAAATGTGTTGAACTGAATGCAACTGTTTGTCTAAGAAAAAAAAATGTGTTAAATAATTATTGCATAAATAGCTGCATTTAATTCAGTGTGAGTATCTACACAAGCAGAATTACTTTCTGTGCATAATTGTTCATAAAGGAATTAATGCATAAATTGTTGAATTTAATGCAACAGTTTGTCGAGCACAAACAAATGGTGTAAATTATTGCATTGTTCAATGCGTAATTGGTTGCAAAGTTATTTCATAAACCGCATTGCATTGAATGCAACGGATTGCGTCAAAGAATGCAACAGTTTGTCGAGCACAAACAAATGGTGTAAATTATTGCATTGTTCAATGCGTAATTGGTTGCAAAGCTATTTCATAAACCGCATTGCATTGAATGCAACGGATTGCGTCAAAAGGCCTTAAAACAAGAACCACTAATTAGTGCAAATCATTTGCAAATTAATTCTTATGTAAATTGTTGACTTCAACTCAATGTGAGAATCTACATGAGCAGAACGACTTTCTGTGCATAATTGTTCATTAAAAAAATTATTGCATTGAATTGAATGCCACGTTTTGCCTAAAACTGGCCCTTAAAATAAACAGAACAAATTCATGTAAATTAGCATGTAAATTATCGCAATCAGTTCAGTCTACACAAGCAGAACGAGTGCGTAGTTTGTGAAGCCGTTATTGGGTAAATTGTGTTGAAATGAATGCAACCGTTTGCCTGAAAAAATAAATTAGTTGCATTCAGTTCAATGTAAGAATGTGATTTTGTCGTGAACTATTTCTGCACAGATTCGTTCTGAATGCATTTCATGAATGATAATTTTTTAATATTACAAGAGCAGAAAGTTTTGACACTGTCTGTAGTTTATTCATCGTGATGCTTGTTAGTGGACGAGGTTCATTACTGACTGACTGACTGTTGAATTCCATGTTTTTGATTGGATTTGGTTTGTGTGAAGGCTTGTTTTCTATTGCACTCGCTCATAGAGAGGCTGATGCTGGCACTAACACTCCTGTAGAAATACCAGAGCTTCATTAGATGTTCCTTAAACCATTGCAACAAAGATGAATGGCACTGAAGACTTTGGGCTGAAGTGGGAATGAATCCCTGTCATTCAGGTGTAATTTCACCCCAAAATCAATTAATAATATCAAGAATTAAAAAAAATGAAATGTCAAACTCTATTGAATTGTGATTAAACATTAATGGTCCTAAAAAATATATACTTATTTATTTAAAATGTAATTTTGCTTGATTTTTAAGGTGAAATATGACCTAGACGTGTCTTGACAGGTTTGTGAGATTCTTCTGTCTTCAGTACTTCAACAGAGCAAAGAAACTGAATGTAACTGAACAGTTAACCTGATAAAAGAGTGGGCTGAAGAATGAATCCCTGTCATTCAGGTGTAATTTCACCCCAAAATCAATTAATAATATCAAGAATAAAAAAAAATGAAATGTCAAACTCTATTGAATTGTGATTAAACATTAATGGTCCTAAAAAATTATATACTTATTTATTTAAAATGTAATTTTGCTTGATTTTTAAGGTGAAATATGACCTAGACGTGTCTTGACAGGTTTGTGAGATTCTTCTGTCTTCAGTACTTCAACAGAGCAAAGAAACTGAATGTAACTGAACAGTTAACCTGATAAAAGAGTTTCATCTTTTTACATGTTTATGTTCTGGTAATGAACATGTCCTCATCACGGTCGTGCCGTTCTGTGTCCGTGTGTATCATGAAACCAGTTCATTCTGAAGGTTGTGAGTGAAGCTCTTACATGCTTGAAAACACTTGAAGTAAAATATACACAACTTTCATAAATGCTCAATGTGTCACAGCTATTTATTTCAACATGCAACTATGCAACTTTTTGACTTTCAATATTCAAGTACATTGTTTCTGTTACTGATCAATATATATATATTGTATATGTATGTAGCCTATATTCTTCAGAACAATGCTTAGTTATTTTGTTTTTGAACTTAACAGATTTAGTTTCAAAACATCTGTTTGGAATTTGAATGAACCTCAGAACCTTGATCTGATGCAGGTGTGGAGGATTAAAGTTTTTAAAGGGTAAATAAAAATCACAATCCTTTTAAGCATAAATCATTGGGGTCAGACAATTTCAGCAAAGCGTGGGTTAAATTCAGTTTCTAGCTTTTAATGTTTGGATTTTGAGTTTATCCTGTAGAGGGCGAGAAAAGGAATATTTTCCAATTCAAAACATCCCTAATCAACCTTTCTCTTTATTTAAACGCAAGATTTATTATTTCACTCCATCGATAGCCTTTTTTTTTTATCGTGAATTATGAGCCACGCCATCTTACTATTAAAAATAGTGATATACCATTATTATGAATATTTATATATTTAAAATGTATCTATTAATGTACTATTTATTAACATAAATATTAATGCATCAAATTCAGTAGTAGTATTTGCGTTTGAATGTGGCGCTTTGATTAAAAAAAATAGGGATAAACTGCGCATTCATTCATGGTTAACGCTGAAAAACAAATTAATATCTATTTTTGCGGATTTCCCCGCTGGGTTTATCATGCGTACCAAACCGCAGACGTTTCATCTCTTCTCATCCCAGCGCTGCATTTGAGAGGCGCTCGCTGATTGGTCCAGCGGGGACATACGGCGCTGCTGATTGGCTCACGCTGATCTGCTGTTGAAATTCCCGGTAACCTTTTGCCATCATGATGACGTCACACCGCAAATTGACACGAGGCCAAATGACACTGAAACCCTTCATATTTAGTAATTGCATTTATTGCTGTAGCTTTTCACATCATCATAACATATTTGAAATACCTGTGAAATTTGAGAAATGTTTTAACTTGCATTATTATAATTCGTTAAAATATCAGTCTGAAAACGAACCCGTTTCTGCAGTAACTAATGCTGATTCTGCAGTCTGGATAAAATGAGTGAACTGCACAAATGCCATTACAAACACAATCTGCCAGAGACAATGAGAGACAAGTACAGACATGAAGTTTAATTATGACCTGTGAAAATAATGCACTGTAATTTAACAGCAGGAATGAAGACTTCGTCTGAACCCATTTAGGAGATCGGAAATTGTGATTTTGTGTGTTTAAAAGTCCGTGAAAGTTCGATTACAAGAATCGTAGTTTCATAAATTGAGGCGCAACTTTGAGCGGACTAGGCTGTTCGAATCTTTGGAATCGATTCTGATCTTTGGTTCTTGAATCAATTCAAAGAATCGTTTCGTCTTTCTTGCTTGCTTTATTTTCGGATAGAATGTTCGTCCAAATCACGTGCATTATCGTAAAAAAAGAGCCCTTTCTTAATATGAAGATAGACCTACGTTTTGTAAAAGAACCGCTTAAACCGATGCATTAAACCGAGCGATGTTCGCGATAATGAATCTATTAGCGAACAGAAGAGGAGAATTAATTATGAGCATCCTTCGTATAACAGCCCTTAATCGATTTGATGAATTCTTATGCTTTCCGTCAATATTCCGTCCTGTTTAAACAAAGGGCATACATCAGTTGGACAAAAATAAAAACTTAACTATCAGTTCTTTGCTGATTAGTGAGTAACTTTAGTTCATTTCCCTCCAGTTTATTTAGCTCTTTATTTGCATTTTTCCTTGAAATCGTGTAAATAATCAAGTTTTAACCAGAGCATGTAACTGAAAGTCTGATATGTGCTTTAGAGACGTCAAAAGATTCAAGAACTTTTACAATTATTTTAAAAATGCCACAAAACAGAGAGAATTGAATGAAATGCAGAATGTGTCAGAAAGTGTAGAAGCTTATTGCTTCAGACTTTATTTCCAGTAAATGATTATGAAACAAGAGTCTATTGATTATTACAGCTGTTATCGCAAACAGGAACATCATGTTAGTTTTAAGAGCCGAAGGCTTCTTCCAAGCAGCGTGAGAAATACCACAACCGCTTTTTGGCATCGAATCAAGTGTCAAGAGTAAAAATAAGGCGATCTGTCCTGTGTGAGAGGAACGGGAGTCAAAATACAGTATAAAGTCTTCAAAGAACTACAATCCAAATGGTTTTAAAAGTTACCAAAGAAATTAATTACAAGCAACTTGTCAAATGAAATCCAAAAATGGAAAAATAGCACCGAAAAATCTCTGAAAATACATTATGTTTGATTAAACATACAGGTGAACTAGAGCAAAAACCAGCTTGCACCATTCAGATTGCATGCAATGCAATGGTTTTTGGCATCATAATGAACAATTAGAATTACTGAAAATCCACAGATATGTCCATCTGTATTATTTTGCGATAGAAAATAGTTCTGTATTAATACAGCATGCTTGCACTAACAGATGAAAAAGCAGGACTCGAAAGATAAGCATGGTGTTGCACAATTAATTATACAAACCCAGTACTAAATAATCAAGAATCAACGCAGTCTATCATTCTCATGCAACCTCAACCAATCAATCAGACCAGACGCCTTCTGGATTCTTCAGTGATTATCTCACAATTATTAAATATAAGTCAACGTTACAAAGTGTGTTTAGACGTCAAATCGATCTCAATCTGCAGT